AGTACAGTCTTAGTGTTCACAAGAGTGAACCCAAATGAAAGAGAATTTGGGCTCCATCTGCAGCTAATCCCCAGTCATCAACAATAATTTCTCAAAATACAAACTTTAAATATAGTTGCCATTAAATTGTTATTTAGCTCTTCTGGTTCTGCTTATATTAGCTAATGTATAAATGTGGGTAATTCAGAAAACAAAAGGTGTTCATTCTCTTTTCACTCATCTTCTATAAAATACTTGGTATAGCTCCATAGTTGTCCCAAATTAAATAATTTTTGTCTTTCTTTCTCCTACACTGCATAGGCTTAGAATTAGTCCTGATTTCTTTCAGGGGCTTTTAATTTTATTTTTCCAAACCATATATCTCACCCAGCACTGTATATTCCTTATCTTCTTGTATCCTCAAGCTAATAGTATGAAGTAATTATTATAATTCCTACTTTAAGAGCAGTTAAGTGATTTGTCTAAGGTCACACAACTGGCAAATGGTCAAAGCAGTATTTGAACCATGATCCTTCCAACATCAGGGTCCCTGTTTTTTTTTTCATTATACTATTTTAATTTTTATGAGAAGGGAAATTCTGCCTTAAAAAAAAAAGTCACAATAAGAAATTATATATAAACCATAAAAAGACATGGAGGCACTTTAAATGCCTATTACTAAGTGAAAGAAGCCCATCAGAAATGGATACACACTGTATGAGTCCAATTACATGACATTCTATAAGATAATGTAGACAGTTAAAAAATCAGTGGTTGCACATGATCTCACTCATTTGTGGATATAATAAACAACATAAACTGATGAACAAAAATAGATCCAGAAACACAAAAGCATCTAACAGACTGTCAAACCTCAGAGGGAAGGTGGGGGCAGGGGTGGTAAGAGCTCAACCAAAGGACTTGTATGCATGCATATACGCATAATCAATGGACAAAGATAGTAGGGGGGTGAGGGCATGTGCTGGGAGGTGGGAGTGGCCAGGGAGAGGTCAATGGGGGAAAAAGGAGACATGTAATACTTTAAAAAATAAATAATTTAAATTTTTAAAAAAAGATCAGTGGTTGCTAGAGACTAGGGTAGAGGCAGAGATAAGAAGGCAGAGCACAGAGGATTTCTAGGGCAGTAAAACTGTTCTGTATGATATATATCATTATACATTTGTCAAAACCCATCCTAATATATAAAAACTCAGGGTCAATAGTGTCCAAAATGACTGAAGGCTTGACCTAGCAGAAGTCAGTCCTGCAGTCAGTGCTGGGTTGCCGTGGCAACCCAGCACTGACTGCTGCCTCCGTGGGCACGGCAACCCAGCACTGACTGCTGAGGGGGCTGCAGATCAGGCCCAGAGAGAGGACTGGAAAGAGAAACAGGGTCTGATCCATAGCCTCCATGGCAGCTGTTGATCAGCCCTTGCCTCTTTCTTTCTCTCTGGGCCTGGCCAGCAGCCCCACCTCTCTTTCTCTCCAGGCCTCCCTGGAGGCTGCTGATCAACCCCGCCTCTCTGATCAGGCCCAGAGATAGGCCTATGACTGGCATAGAAACCAACCAATCAGAACCAAATCTGAGTGAACTATGAGGAGCCAATGGCTGCCTAGGAGGTGGAGCTTTTGACGCTGACTGGCATAGAAACCAACCAATCAGAACCAAATCTGGGTGAAGTGCGAGGAGCCAATGGCTGCCTAGGAGGTGGAGCTTTTGACACTGACTGGCATAGAAACTGACCAATCAGAACCTAATCTGGGTGAACTGGGAAGGCAGAACCTAAGGTGGGGGCTGAGGAGGGGTTTTAAGGACAACAGCTGTTTGGTGTAAGGTGTAAGAAAGCAGTTCAATTTTTTAATGACCGGTTTGGCAATATAGTTCATATGGCCAGCTATCAGTTCAGATATAGGGATTATGTATTTTTGTCTGCCAAGAGCATCTCCTCCTGATGAAAAATGCTTTTCCCCCCATTTAAGCAATCCTATCCTACATAATCTATCTATACTAATAAAAGGGTAATATGCTAATTAGACCAGGTCGACCAGCCATCTTCAAGACATCCAACTTCCTTCCGGACAAAGCCATGTTGGTGGGGGCTGAGGCAGAGGCAGTTAGGGGTGATCAGGCCAGCAGGGAAGGGCAGTGGGGGTGAGATCAGGCCGGCGGGGGAGGGCAGTTGGGGGCAACCAGGCTGGCAGGGGAGGGCAGTTGGGGGTGAGATCAGACCAGCAAGGAAGGGCAGTTAGGGGTGATCAGGCAGGCAGAGACAGATGGGGGCAAGATCAGGTCGACATGGGAGGGCAGTTGGGGGCAACCAGGCTGGCAGAGGAGGACAGTTGGGGGCGAGATCAGACCAGCAGGGGAGGGCAGTTAGGGGCAATCAGGCAGGCAGAGACAGATGGGGGCAAGATCAGGCCAGCAGGGGAGGGCAGTTGGGTGTGAGATCAGGCCAGCAAGGAAGGGCAGTTAGGGGTGATCAGGCAGGCAGAGACAGATGGGGGCAAGATCAGGTCGACAGGGGAGGGCAGTTGGGGGCAACCAGGCTGGCAGAGGAGGACAGTTGGGGGCGAGATCAGACCAGCAGGGGAGGGCAGTTAGGGGCAATCAGGCAGGCAGAGACAGATGGGGGCAAGATCAGGCCAGCAGGGGAGGGCAGTTGGGGGTGAGATCAGGCCAGCAGGGGAGGGCCGTTGGGGGAAAGATCAGGCTGGCAGGGGAGGGCAATTAGGGGCAACCAGGCCAGCAGGGTAGGACAGTTGGGGGCAACCAGGTTGGCAGGGGAGGGTAGTTGGTGGCGAGATCAGGCAGGCAGGGGAGGGAAGTTAGGGGTGATCAGGCCAGCAGGGGAGAGCAGTTGTGGTCAAGATCAGGCTGGAAGAGGAGGGCAGTTAGGGGCAATCAGGAAGGCAAGCAGAGGCAGTTAGGGCCAATCATGCAGACAGGCAGGTGAGCGGTTAGGAGCCAGCAGTCCCAAATTGTGAGAGGGATGTCTGATTGCTGCCAGTCAGACATCCCCTAAGGGGTCCCCAATTGGAGAGGGTGCAGGCTGGGCTAAGGGACCCCCTCTCCACCCCCTGTGCACAAATTTCGTGCACCGGGCCACTAGTAGATTATAAAACACCAAGAGTGAACCCCAGTGTAAACTCTGGACTCTGGGTGGCAATAATGGGTCAATGTAGCTTCATCAGTTGTAACAAACGTTCCACTCTGGGGGAGGTTGATAGGAAGGTTGTACGTCTGTGGGGACAGGAGGTATATATGAACTCTGTACTTTCTGCTCAATTTTGCTGTAAACCTAAAACTGCTCAAAAAAATAAAATCTAATTTTAAAAAAGATTTCCCCATTAAGCAGACAAATAGAAATCATAAATTTTATGTTACTTCACGCCTTGCTCCACTTTCTACCCGTAACACTTAAGACATTATAAAGAGAACCAAAATTAGTTAAAACTAAGCCAATAGAATAAGATACCAGAAGTATAAATATCCGAGGGCATCCTAATTCAGCCTGTATTTCCCTTTCTTTCTCCTTCCTATCATCTATCTGGTCATCCTTTTGGTTGTTTTCATTTTATTCCCACCACACAACTTCTACAGCCAGGAATGGAAAAAGGGAAAACAAAAGCAAACGTTTTCACAATACTCTTAGTATTTATGGTTCCAGTCACCATTGCTGCCAAAACGTAGTGTGTAAAACAATCATTTATTATGCTCACGGATTCCATGGGTTAAGAATTCAGACAGAGCACACGGAGGATGGCTTGTCTCAGGTTTGTAATGTGAGGGATCTTAGCTGGGAAAACTCCAACACTGGGCTGACTCAACAGCTGGGGGCTGCAATCATTTGGAGACAATTTTTCCTCACATGTCTGGGTGTTAATACTGGCTGGGACCTCAGCTAGCTTCACAGCCAAAATACATATCCCTGGATTCTCCATCAGTCTCTCTGTGTGGGCTAGTTTGGATTTCCTAGTTTGGACATGGCAACCATGTTCTAAGAGAGAGCATCCCAAAAGAGCAAGAACGAAGTGTATGACATTTTTATGATCTAGCCTTGGGAGTCACATTAGTGTCACTCATAGCATACTCTATTGGTCAAAGCAGCCACAAAGGTCTACCCAGCTTCCAGAGGGAGGGACATAGCCGCAAATGGGAGGTGTGTCAAGATCACATTGTAAGCATATATGGAATAGGAGGTATTGCTTTTGGCATTTTGGAAATATAATCTACTGCAATAACTCTTGTTATATTTTATTATACCTTAAATATCTAGGTATTGTTGCATTTGAATGTTTGGTTAGACATTTCTCCTCATCTTTATTTGTGATTATCTGTTTCAGATTATAAACCACATGACGGCAGGGACAGCCGTGTTAAGTTCATTTTCGTGAGGTCCAACATAAAGCCTTATACTTGACAACCACAGTATACAGCATTATTACTATGATGCAATTGCTGATAGATACATGCACTTGAGCCATCATTATTTTTTACATGTGTAATGTGTTGCAGCTAATCTCTATAAAAAGGCATATAGCATCTTTACAATTTTGTATTAATGAGAGAGAGAGAGAGAGAGAGAAGAGAAGAGAGATTTGATGTTCCACTTACTTATGCATTCATTGGTTGCTTCTTCTTTGTGCCCTGACTGGAGATCGAACCCACAACCTTGGTGTATCAAGACAATGCTCTAACCAATGAGATACACAACCACAGCACCTATAGCATGTTTAATATGCAAGTGAGCCTTGTTACAAAAATTAGATCTTGGTAGCTTGAGAGGAGTACCTAAGTTCTTTCAAGTGAATAGATTCTTGTAAAGCAATAATAGAATCTCACAGGTGAGTGGGGAACCACTTCCCTGAGGAAACTATCGTTTTTTTCTCCCCTCTGTGATTAGTCACTTTCGATTTACTAGATTATTAAAAGTTGTATTTGAGGAATCGGTGTGAGACCTTGATCATGGATTTGATCTCTTCTGAAAAGTTAATTAATAAAGGCAATTGTCCCTTTTCAGTTGATTTCATAGGTGGCTTTGATTCTTATGGCTATCAAGGGCCTCAGAAGACATCTCATTTACAACTGCAGCCTATGTACATGTAAGTACTTTACTTGGGTGTTTTTCATCTGGGGTACCACAAGATGGCGAAGGAAATTTCTGTGGCACAAAATAGATGGCATGCAACTTTCCTTCAGTTATATACTTTAGCATTTCTCTCCTATTCATATCGTTTTGACTGGGATAACTCTGATACCATTTTCTTCATAATCATTTTAAAATTTAACTTAGAAATGCCACATCTAAAGTTACCTTAAGTCTTATATAAGTATCAACTACATGACTAAAAAAACCTCTAATCGTATACTAATTTTTGAAGTTGCATATACTTAAAATCATATAACATTGTAGGTGGTTATATGTGACTATATATAAACCATATGTTTTGGTTTTCCCAGGAGGGTCTAGATTTACACAGGTTGTCCTGGTATAATTATTACCAGCACCCCCAGTTAGATAATAAGTGTTGTTATCACTCCAGTTAGATATAGTGTTTTAAAAAATCAAAAACTGAGCAATACTTTATCATTTTTGTGATTTGAAAAGTGAAAATGAAGCCAGACTATTAACATCGAAACCTATCAGACCCTTAACTCTAGCACTCCAGAGAGCAGATATGCTATCAGAGCCTGATTTTTATATCTGTGTTTAGGCAAATTCCCTTGGATAACAACTGATAACAAATTCTATATATCAGCATCAAGTGATATGCTGAATTGCAAGCGAAGATCAAAATAGAAAGTAAGATTCCAATTCATTTTGAAATGTGAGCTTCTCTCTTTGAAGATATGTGTTTGTTGTCGTTGTCCTCCACCATTGAATCATTTTACCTTTTAATATCGTTAGTGTGTAGGATAACAAGTGTGTTTTTGGAGTATTTCTCTGGAGAAATTAATCTTTATGCGTACCCTTTCAGCTTCTTTTTAAAAGGGGAATGATCTATGCAGCATGCCTCCATTTTTTTGTGTGTCCCTTATAGTTCCCTGGAAGATCTGGTAACTGATAGAAAAGCCTCTATCAATTCAAATATCAGGCAATACTATGTGTCATTCAAATCATTCCTTCTGTAAACAGTACTTCACATATCTCCACTTTTATATCCCCACAACACTGTCCTAATTCTAGCATTCATGGCCTTAAGTTTTTCATTCTCATTCTTATTTTAGAACCCCTATCCCGTCATTCTTGTGGCCTCTAAATTGACTTTCCTAAAGTGCCACTCTGATCATTTCACTCCCCAGTCCACAAACCATCAATGACTTCCTGTTACATACCGAGCAAAGTCCAAGCTCCTAATCAAAACCTGGAAATCTACTCAGATCTGGAAGGTTTTGTTGAAACATATCTCTTCTTCTCAACCCTTAATAACTTTTAAGTCACAATCATATGCAGATGATGCTTGAAGATGCTAGGAAAATGTAATGATGAATAAGAATTGACCCTATCCTCCTGAAGCTTATAATCTACTAGAGACCCAGTGCATGAAATTCGTGCACAGGGGATGGGAGGTGTGTCTCAGCCCAGCCTGCACCCTCTCAAATCTGGGTGCAAATGTAGCCCTTCTGAAAAGAATCCCCCAGTGGGATTGGGCCTAAACTGGCAGTCAGACATCCCTCTCAAATCCGGGACTGCTGGCTTCCAAACACCTGCCTGCCTGCCTGCCTGATTGCCCCTAACCGCTTCTGCCTGCCAGCCTGATCACCCCCTAACCACTCCCCTGCCAGCCTGATCGATGCCTAACTGCTCCCCTGCTGGCCCAATTGCCCCCAACTGCCCTCCCCTGCAGGCCTGGTTGCCCCTAACTGCCCTCCCTTTCAGGCCTGGTCCCTCCCAACTGCCCTCTCCTGCTGGCCATCTTTGACCACATGGGGGCAGCCATCTTGTGTGTTGGAGTGATGGTCAATTTGCATATTACTCTTTTATTAGATAGGATTATTAGTAGGAATAATGCTTATGCTAACCAGTACTACTCATGGAAAGACTTTATCAAGTCACAAATCAATATACACTGTATTTCATTCCCAAAGGATTTCCTCTGTAAACACTATATCTCATATAACACCAGGCCAAGTAGCATGTAACAATATGTTTGTGCTCAACAGTAAACCAGGACATCTACAAGGCTTGCAATTGCTTGCTCTGACAATAGCACATAACATTTTTATCACACAGCATTTCATTGTGTTGGTCAATAGGAATGATCAATAAATGTGATCAAGCTACAATAAATTAGATATAACCACTTATGTAAGGATCAGCTATAATAATAACATAAGAATGCTAATTATACATAATCAAGTATATTATTTCAAATCAAGCATTTATAATTCTAATGTCTTTAATGAGGGGACTCTGCAAATTTTTTATCCAGCATTAAATTCCTTGAAGACAAAACTTCTTGTGATTTTATTAAATAGAATACTTTAAATACTAAACCAAAAATAATAAAAGTAATGTTTTCTTCTTTACTTCCAGGGAATAGTAAAAATTATATAAGAGCTTTCAAGTCTCACTGCTCATGAAATAAGTTAAATGTTTAATGGCATTCAAATTTAGGAAGTTAGAAATATTTAAAATATGTAACAAAATATATCGACAAAATATGACCACTGTCCCTTCCACAGAACTTCCCCTCATCACTTAGTATTTGAGTGGCCTCAAATACTAAGATTTTTTTTACAGATGAGGGAACTGAGTCAAGTGGAAGGAAAACAAGGTCACACAACTTGTCAGGTGTGCAGCTCCAATTCGCAACCAGCTTTCCGGCCTCTTAGTTCGGTGTTCTTTCCAAATTCGTAGACAGACCATGAGTCTGCTCTGGCATTACATTCCCTGATTCTTAATTGACCTATTTCTCCTGCTTCACACTAACTTAGCTGCCATGCTTCCATTCATGCATTCATGCCTGCACCCCTCCCCTCTTTCTGTGTATCTTTGATCCCCTTTTAATTTCACATTAAGCAGTGTTGAATGAAGAAGAGCTTTTTCAACTTTGTGGACCTCAAACATCAATCCCCGGAGAGCCACTGTCTACTCAAATCCTATGACAAAGCGAAACCCATCCACACATAAGCCTCACCCCCTGCTGAGCATCTCCTATACCTTTATCCTCCGGGGTACCTTCTCCTGTCAACCGGCCATAAATAAGTCTCGTAAAGTAAGAGAGATTTAACATCATGGGCCGGTCAAGCACCCTAACAATCTTGTATAGCAACGGAGGTAAGAGGTGTTCCTTAGGAAAGGAAATGCTTAAAAGCAATGTGCCATTTTAGCTGTGAGGCTCCCATGGTCCCCGGCAAGTCTTCTGTTTCAGAGGCAGAGCTTTGAAAACACTGCCCACCTGCCTTCCATCACAGCCGTGTACCCCTCCCTGTAGCCCAGGAATAGGCAGTCTTTTTTTTTTTTTTTTGGTATTTTTAGTAAATGTTCTTGGCCTATAAATCTTCAGATTATATCCTAAAAAGGAAAGGTTATCATTATTTTGTTTTTATAGTTTGGTAAACCTCTTTGGAACCAGCAATAACTATGAAGTTTCTTCACCGAAACATTCCCTGTCCACAAGTTAATTTTCTAACAAGTGGCTGCCTGGCCACCACTGACCTAAGTGCCATAACAAGCAGAGATGGGTGTGGGCTCCCCGCAGTGTAAACTGTGAGAAAGTCCCCTGGCTTATTAGACACATTTGAAAACATCGCATTCTTTCTGGCAGCCTAATTCTACAGCAATACATAGTCATTGTATTTGTCCCCAGAAGTGGATTTTAAATTACCATAAGCAGCCTCTCCATCCAGGAGATTGCAGTGAGAAAAAAAGGAAAAGTGTCTATTTAAGGCACAATTGGGCTTGGGTCTTTTTTTTTTTTTTTTTTTTTTACTTGCTCTTGTGCTTAGAGAGTCGAGAAAAGGTGCTGAGCTTTCACTCTTTATTAAAAAACGTCTTTTTTCTCTCTTTCTCTCTTAGGTCGAAATAATACATATGGCTTCATAATGTCAGCTCCTGGACCTTACAAAAAAAACTTGTTTCGCAATGGCCTCCTGCATTTTATGAAGAGCAAGAAGCAACTGAGTTTAAATATACATACATTTTGACAAAACAAACACCAAGCCTCACATACCAAACACCAAGCCTCACATACACTGGGGCACGCGCGCGCGCGTACACACACACACACACACACACACTGAGACACACACCAGTTCCACTTGGCCTCCTCTTCCTAACTGAAACAGACAAATGTGCAGGACATGCCCAGCTCGGATTTCCTGAAAGCAGGCTTTTTTCTCCCAGGCCTTTGGAAAGTTCAAAAGGAGACGTGTTGGTGCCCTCTGCTGGCTGTCACTAACTCCTCTGCCGCTCAGCCCCTGGGCCTCTGGGAGCTGTCAAGTCATCCAGGGCAAAGTAGCTTGAGAGTCCTGTCTTCTGCACTCCAGACATCTTGATAGCACCACGGCTCCGTAGGCAACAGAATTGCAAACACCAACAAACAAAACGTGCCATGATGACCTGGTAACCAAAGTCTGAAATGGCAGGTTGTTTGCCCTAAAGGCTGTCCCGTACATACTTGCCTTAACCCACCATAGTTGTGCGCCCGAGAATCTCAGTGCAGACATCCCCAAGTCATTTCCTTTAGGCTAACACACTGCTATTAATTCCGAATGAGTTCAAGTCTGTATGTTTTATGTCAAGAAACCAGACTGAAGAGCCCAGCAGCTCCAGTGTGTCTGTGTACGAAAACTGCCAGCTGTCAGCAAAGTGCTTTACCATTGAGCCTCCACAGTGGCCAAAAAGAGACAAGTACCAATAACAACAACAATCATCATCATCACCTTTATAATTCTTAAATATGGGCTTCTGATGGGGTTGGGTGGGGGCAAAGTAAAACTTAGTAATCTACTAACATCATTTATCTACTGGAAGCAGAAATGGCATAACTCACTGACTTTATTTATCGCACTCTAGGTGCTTTTATAAGTATCTACAAATGTCTTTTACTAACACAGAAACAGCTGTGGATTTCTATCAACAGAGGCCAACTGACTATGTATTAGCGATGTTTACTCTTTTATATCTAATTCAAATTGAAGACCCTATGTAGGTGAACTTTTTTTCCTAACTTCCAGCGTATGAGATTATTTTTGGGGTGGGCGGGGCGGGGGGAGCAATAGTTATCTTGGTGACATATTTGAGATCTCTTTGTGGTGATTGGGGGATCCGTTGTGTGGTAGAGTGTATTTGAATCCTCCTGTATTATTGTGGCAGAAAAACTGTGCTGTTAACGTAGTTGGCAACAAGATGCCTTTGGAAACTTAATAGTAGGTCACTGTGTTTATGAAATATTCTGAATTTCTAGGAAATTTTGTTCTATATATTCAAGCATTATTTGGTTTTCATTAGTGGAAAACATAATTAGCTCAGGCTTGTCAGGAACTCAGATGAGTCACGTTTTTTTCTTGGATCCACCTGAGACATTAAAAAACAAATTTTTTTAAACAAATATACCATCCTTAAGTGCAGCGAAATTCAGACCTGAAATGTTATGCATTGGCATGAAGCAACTTTTTCTCTTGGTTCTATGAAGTTTCAGTTATTGGGTTAACCTACTTTGGACCTTATCCCATCCAGAACTACATAAACCATTCCCATGACTGTGTTGCATGGATATCAATGATACACACGCATATACATTTGAAAACGATCAAGGAACAAAGGTTGCTATTGAAACGTAAACTAGAAAAAAAAAAAGCGTTCCAGCACTTGGGCTTGAATTTTCTCAGTGGCTTGTATAATTTTGTCCATACATACATGTAATAAAACACATGACTACAAACATGTCAGTGAAACCTCACCTAACCATTTTATAGTGGCATGCATGTTTCATATATGAGAAAAATATTTACCAATGTACTGTCCTTTGATTCTCAAAATATAAATACTCTACATGCCAGAAACTACTCTAATGTAACTATTAATGTGACCATTAAAATGAGGTTTCACTGTACATTCATGCTGTGACCAGATTCCTCCTTCCAGGACATGTGTGTGGATAAGAATTGAAATGCACAGAGAAGAAGCCCTCATCTTCCTCCTTTAAGTTGCAGCCAACTTACCACCTAACCACTACTATCATCGCCACCAAAATTTTTCAAAACCAGTTGTTGACTACTAAAAGGAATCAGTGGACAGGTCGTTGCTGGGAGCAGTGAGCACAGTCGTGTGATTACATCTGGAAAAGCAAGTTGTACAGCTGTATCCTCCTCAAGACCCGGTGAAGAATGCTATTTTTCTAGGCTGAGCTTTTGTTATAAACCTAATATTCAGAAGGCAAGAGTTACAAACCTGATGTGTCTTTTTCTTCCTTTCCTTTTTTGCGTTTATTAATTCTGAATGTATTTTTAACAGAGTGATTTTTTTGACTTACCAGTGTAATTTGCATTTTAAAAATAAATGGAAAAACAATAACGTTTCCGAGCCATCCTTGAAAGCCGTGCTGCTTCTCCCGGTGCCCGTGATTATGTCATTGACAGGAAAACCCTAGGAAACTCACATGAAGGCGGTGCTGATGCCCGTCGCATGCCGTGCAGGGATGTGTCAAAAGGAAAGAGAAAATGCCAGGTCACGGCACCATTTTAGCCCAGTCATAGAGGTAACACGTACTTGCATTATCTCCTGTCACTAAGGGTTTTTTCCACAAGACCGCCTGGAATAGGCTTGCTGTCATTTGGAGAGCTTGTTTCCCCACTTCTGTCTGGAATTTAGAGTTAGCATCAAGCTATTGTCTGACAAAAGTGTGAGGCCACTATATTAAAAACCCTTGTTTAACATAGGTAGAGGTTTTTTTTGTTTGGTTTTTTTTATACTCAATTTGAAATAACTTAAAAAGCTCATTTATTACCCATTTAATGGCATGGTCTTTGATGGCAACTATAGGGAAGCATGGTGGGGGAGGGTAAGCAGTTAGGAAAGATTACCCCTGGCAGTGGCCATTGCCCAACCGTAATGTCAGCTGAGGTTCACTGTATGCACTGCAGGGACAGAACGGGGCAGGCTGGGCTGCTCGTGGGTGTGTCTTTTCTCTCTCTGTACACAGACACAAACCAGCCCCAGAAGCCAAAGAAGCAAAACGGATCGCAAACAAGGAAAGCTTTGAGGCAGCATTCCAAGAAGCCAAAGATCAACTTGCAGTACCTGACTTCTCGGCCACATGGTGAGAGCCTTGCAAAGACCAAGTCTGTGCTGACTTTTGCTCCCAGTGTGAAAAGCATGCTGACGCGGGTTCATTGAAGTAGACGGGATGACTGTCAGGTGGTTGCTACAGCACTGTGAGGTCAATGCACAGGACATCTCAGTTGAAGATAAAGAGACAAAAGTTAATAGGAAAGAGTTATCAATTCAATAGTGCAAGACTCTTACCAGCTATGTTCTGAATTCAAAGAAGAAGAAAAAAAACACCACTAAATAGTGCATGCCTTCAGTAAATAACACTACCAAGGTCTTCATTTGTACTATAACAAGTTGACCATTTAACTCAGAAATACAAATTCATTTTAAATGGGTCACATTGTAAAATACATTTTTGAGAGCCAACCCATTTATCATAAAGATAATAGAGTAAGGGCCGTGGAGGTTAAGAAATTACTCAAGATTACCATACATTTTGAAAACGCAAATAACTCTATTCCACAGCAAAACCCAGAATATATATACACTGGTCAGAATAGAATAAAACAAATCCCAGATGCTATCAGCTGACCCTGGACTGTGTAAGTCAGAATGAAACCTGATAAAGAAGACCCTAAGATAATATAAAATCATCAAATACTTCTAAATTATTGTGTGCTAGATTCAGCATAGTCTCAATGTTAAATATGTTTTATTGTGTTATAGTTCTTTTACATATATGTAAAAGAACTATATGTGTATATAGTTCTTATATATGTGTGTGGCGTTTTTTTTTTTTTTTTGGTTTTTTAAAATATATTTTATTGATTTTTTACAGAGAGGAAGGGAGAGGGATAGAGAGTTAGAAACATCAATGGTAGAGAAACATCGATCAGCTGCCTCCTGCACACTCCCTACTGGGGATGTGCCCGCAACCAAGGTACATGCCCTTGACCGGAATCAAACCTGGGACCTTTCAGTCCGCAGGCCGACGCTCTATCCACTGAGCCAAACCAGCTAGGTGTCGAGTAAGACTCCCTCCACGTTCTGTGTGGAGTAGGGTTCGGTATCTGAAAGAGGAGCTGCACAACAAATGAGAGAAAAAGACACGAGATAATTTTGCAATATTGGGGGACCAGGCGGGCAAGTCCTGAAGGACTTCCACCCATGCTCAGGCCGCTCCAATCTTTTATTGATCTGGAGTAGCCCTTAGGGTAAGGAGGTTTCAATGACACACAGATCAGCAGACAATTTCCAGGAATAGACAGAGTATCTGATTAGCTCATCAATAGATGATTTCTAGGAATAGGCAGAGTATCTGATCAACAATAATCAACAAGGATCTACATAAGTATCTAAGGAATTAAGTGAACTAAGGTGGGGATGATGCTTCAACTATTATTACCTAAATTAACTGGGTGGTTCCTAGATTAACTGGGTGGTGCGCAGTCCTGACCTTTGCTAGGACTTCAAAGGTTACTAGCTTTTGGGGGTCTCTGTCTAAACTCAGCTAGTGAAGACAATGAATGGACTCCGGCAGCTAGGGCTGTATGTGAGTGTTTTATATTAAGCAACGAATTATGTTCAGTTTCATGGTTAAAATTTTTGCTATTTCTTTTACAACAGATTTATGAATAGCTAATATCAGAGACATTGAGGTTACTTAAACTGTCCCATCTTGAGTACTTCCTGTGATTGTCAAGATAATCTTCCTTCAGACATTTTATCTGTCTTTGGTAAAATTTTGGCACTCAACACTTACACTCAGGAAGCTTTGATATCAAGATCCTTACATCATAAAAAAAAAAAAAAAAAAAAGAAGCCCCAATTATTCTCATCATATATGGGTCTTAGCTTAGGACTCATTTTCAATCCTATCTTCATTGTACAACATCTACCTTCCACCTGCCTTCAAGAAAGGAAAGGACACTGTCCGTGATTGATATATTATGTCCAATTTTAAACTTATTAGTATCTTGAAACAATCACTTTTGAGAGCAAAATCTCTAAGGCGTTTATATACTCTATGCCTTTTAACTCAACAAAAATTAGAACTAGGTAATACATCCAAGGGTCTCGTTTACCACTGGAATCTGCACAGGTGTCATGAGATACAACTGCAGTGCCAACAAAGAAAGCAAAGGTGAGTTCCTCCTAAAGTGTCTTCTTCTGTTCTCTAGAGTTATCAAGAAAGTTGTTTTTTAATCCTTAAAAATTATGGAGTTAAGAAGCAAATAAGCTTAACATTTTGATGGTAATGAAAGTCGACTTCTGTAAGATAAATTCAGAGAGGGAAATACTTTTATAAGCCACATGTGGATGCCCTGACAAAGGCTAAATTGTTATTAAAATTAATGTGAGCCTTCTCTGTAATGAGAGCACAGAATTGTGGCTCCTTAATAATAAAACAGGTATATTTTTTTAACCTCTCATTCTACCCTCTTATGAATTTAAGCCATAACAACAATGGAATAAAACAACTCCCAAAAAGATTGCAAATTGATGCTGTCATCCCAAGGATGATGGATTGATTCAATTAATCAGTAAGTCTTTTCTAAGAGTCCTTTGGGGAGTTATTTACCAGAGGCATACCCTGTGTATTCCTCTCCCATGCGCCTGTCATTTTTCTTCATTATTCTTCTCATTTTACTTGTTATATCCTTTGGGGATATGCTCATCTCCATGTGCAGAGAGGTTTTGCGCATAGCGGTCTAGACATAAAGCTTCCAAGCCTCAAACTGGAGGCCACCTGAATACCAGTGCCTCTTGTCATTGTTATCTTAGGCTGAGCCAGACTCAGGGTGGAGTCAGGCAAATGGGCACTGAGTTACAAATGGTAAGTCACTGGGAAAGTATCCAATTGAGTGAAGACTCTGAAAAATCCTCCCTTGGTAAGGACGTAACAGCTTGGTGCGCCGCACACTGTGGAACTAGCCTGCCCACCTCCAAAAGCAGGTAGGTGGGGAAGAGT